AACATGTTCATCGTCTTCATCAATCGATATTACAGCGGTTTCATTAAAATGAACATATTCATCCTCAAATAAAGAAATTGTTTCCAGATTGGAAGACCCAATTACACTTCCATCTCCAAAAGGAACATGTTCATTTTCCAGATTAAAATGAACATGTTCATTTTCGTGATTACAAAACTCAGGGGCTGCGTCTAGATCTTCTAATATCACCATGGGAAAATTCAGTTTTTGCAGAAGATAAAAATCGAGAATCGCCTTCAAAAGAGAAGAATGCTGGAGTGAAAGGATTTTTTGCCTTGAAAATGCTGCCAATTTTGGCGGAAGGATAGTGCAAGTTTTACCGCCTTTTCTATCTCTCTCTCTCTGCGCGTGGGCCGACTGTTTGGACAACAATTTTAATTTAACGCCACTCTCCTTTAATTTGCGTGTGTCCACTCTCTGCCCTGGCACACCTAGCAAGGTGTGCCAGGGCACACCTAATTATTTGCGGTGGATAAGGCCTTATTATAATTATTATTATTATTATTATTATTATTATTATTATTATTATTATTATTATTATTATTATTATTATTATTATTATTTAAAAGGTGTCTTAGAGAATAAGTTAGAAAAGTAATATTATTATTTAATATTTAGTAAGAGATATTGTCTTGTTGGACAAGTTAATGTCTAGGATTGGGAGCCTCATTTAAATGAGTTCTGTTTTGTTATGTGATAGTTGATTATTGAAATGAAAAAAGATTAAATATTGTGAGTTTTGCGTGTTTTACGAGAGAGTATCTCGTTTACTCGTTTATCTTCCCACTCGTACGCTTCCCTGCATCAGCTGGTATCAGAAGTCTGCAAAATTCACAATGCTATCGCGAAAAAATGATGCTGCAAACGACAGGCGTGCCACCGCCATCTACAACTTGATCGCCGAACCGAGTGGTTTCGCCGTCAGCTCGAGACGATGGATTGTCAGATTGTAGATCTGTCTGCGAAGATCGGGACATATGTCTAACTATCTGTACCATGATTCAGGACAAGATAATGTACCGTGACGCCGACAACCGTGGTGTGTGCGGGGGAATTCGCGGAGGACGTGGAGGTCGTGGTCTCGGCGGAGCGCCCCGTCGGAGATCTCCACAACCACCGCCTGCCAACGAAGACGGCGAGAAGACAATCTCGGAGGTGAATCCCTTCGAGAAAAGAAAACACTAACATTAAAATATACATATTATGTATGGTATTTTTATTTAACGAGAAAAGAAAACACTAACATTAAATAACAACAACAGTACTAATATAGATTGAAATATCATTAAAACATGATAAATCACGATTTTTAATTTCCCATCTTGTGCGTTGTAATTTTAATTTTATCTTATGTGTTGTAATTTTTAATTAATCATTTTGCGTTGTAATTTGTAATACTATAGTGTGTCGTAATTTTAAAATTTAATTTTGAATCTATTTATTTTTTTGATTTTATTATGTATATGATTATAACTTTATATTTACTTTATTACATAAAGTCTAAATTGAATTGAAAATAATAGTATGGTTTAATTTGTAAAGTTGTAAAATATGTGGGTAGTATTGAAAAATTGTAAAACTTGATGTAAAAGAGAATATTCTTTTGAGTTTGAGAATGAGTTTTTCGGTTGGAGATAAATTACTGCAAGATGAGATAGGTACTGCAAAATAGATTTGAGTATGGTGTATTCGATAGGAGATGGTCTAAGTAATCTTCTTGATATTTAAAAACCAACACTAAACAAAATCACATACCATTTCAGCCACACCAATAACCATTCAATTACAAAAAAGTTACAACAATCATCAACTTGGATTCTTAAATTAAACAATTAAAAAAAAAAAAAAACAACAAACAAATTATCACTAAAGCCCCTACACCAACTTCTCTCGTCTTTCAATCAAGCCCCAACCGGCGCAGTAGCAACTGGCTTCACTTTAGGCGGCCTACCTCGCCCGCGAGGCACACCCTTAGTGGTCTGAGACTGCGTAGCCTCATTCCCTGCGGAAGCTTTCGGCGGCCGGCCGCGTTTCTTCCCTGAGAGTGTACCCGCCGTGCTCGTCGCCTTGGGCTTGGGCGGCAGTGGCGGAGCCATCGGGTCCCCAGCGGATTTGGGAGGCCTGCCACGCGGACGTGGCTGCTGGGGTACTGTCCCCGGCGGCAGAGGCGTTTTGGGCTTAGGGGGGCGACCCCGGCCGCGTCGTGGTGGTGCACTTGAGTCGGGTATGGCGTAGTTGTTTTTAACGAAGAGCAGCTGGCCAGTCGATCTCATCCGGTTGAGGTGGTGGGTTAGCAGAGTAGAGTGCGCCGCCGGCAGATCCCCATAGGTGGCCTCGATGTGCTTCGAGATTAATGACTTGTTTGACCCGTTCTTATCGTTTAGAGCTTTAATTGCTGCCATAATCATCTAAAAAGAAGAAGAATTTGATTCTGAAAAATCACTTTTATGGGATAAAACAAATAAGCACTGAGAAAAATATTTGATTTTGTTGTGTTACCTCTGGATACTGGGGCAGGGTGGACGGAGGCGCCGATGAGTGAACAAAGCCGGACCCATGAAATTCTTCACTCGCCATAACCTAAACTAATTAACTGATCAACCTAAGCTGAAGCTAATTTCACAAGAAATTTAGTGAGAAAGTAGCTGACGAGAAGAAATTGGATGTGAAATTTTTCACAGATGTAAAAGGGTTATAAAAGGGTAAACAGATCGGAGCTGGGCCAAGAAATTCGAGAAAAAAAAATAAAAATAATAATAATAATAATAAAATATAAAATAAGATGTAGTTTTAATTTGATGGATCTTACGGCTGGGGATTCTCCTTTTGGTTGAGATCCAGTGGCTCAAATTCTTTTCTAACAGTGCAATCAGGATCGCTGACGTGGTTGTGCTATTTCCTTATCTAATTATTTGTTGCCTTTAAATTACCACTTTGTCCTTGGGGACCTATCAAGTCTACAACTCATTTCTAAGTCTAATTTGGGACCTTAAGAAACATATAATTTCTTTTAGGTGTGTTTGTGTAAGTTTTCTCAATATATATTCAATTCTGTAGAAACGAGCTAAAAACTAAGTAAATTATGAAAATCAGTAAGATGAAACTAGAAATCTTTTAGATCGCATTAATCTGAGCTTGGAGCTCTGTAAAACCAATTGAAGACGATGAAGGACCCTATCCTCATCTTAAAACCCATACATCCCATAATGACCAATAAAGGACCTACATGTGTCCCAGTAAAAGAGATGAAAATAAAAGAAACTAAAACACGCCCTATTCAAGTAAGAAATGCGACTTAGGCTAAAAAACTGAAAACAAAGAACAAACAGAATAAAAGAAACATAAAGGAGAGCAGCATGCAGACGCATGCAGACGTCACAATTCAACACGCCCCCCTTAAGCGGGAATGGGGACAATCATGCGCATTCCCAGCTTGAAAAGGAAGCGTCGAAAGTCAGGACCCCCCAAGGACTTGGTGGAGAGATCAGTCGGTTGAAGAGTGGAAGCGATGTGTTTGGGCATGATAAAAACCGTCCTTGTATTTGTTGCGAACTACATGACAATCAATGTCTAAGTGTTTAGTTCGCTCGTGAAAAACGAGGTTGGCCGTTGTAACATCCCGCCTAGACTTACTAAAATCAGAGTATATTTTTCGCGCTATAAAAGGAAAACTCTGTTTTAATTTTCGAAAACTCATATTAATTTTTCGAAAATACTTTAACTTTAATATGCGGGATGCTACTCAACTTTAATCTTAAATCTTTAATCTTTAATATCTTTAAACTACTCGGCATGCAACCGAGTATAATTCATTACTCTAAACATCTCAGGATTTAAGCATGCATAGACTGAAATTCTAGATACTGAAATACTGAGTGCGGAAGTAAATGTAAGCATGCATCAACAAAACATAATAACTCAAACATGCTAAAATATACATGACATGTTTACTAAAAATATCCTTGCTATGACCACCACCACATCATCGGCTCACGCTCTACGCTCGACACCGTCACCTGAAAAATGGTTAGTGGGGGGCGTGAGCATAAATAATCCACGTGCTCCGCCGGAACCGGCACTGAAATATACAGCTAATATAATAACATATCATGACATCGGCATATATGCAAGTACATAATGGTTCGGAAGAAAACGATATGATGATGAGCATTTTACTAACAGATTAGGCATTCATCCAATAAGCACTTAAATCGACAAACTACCTATAGGTGCTACATAGTTGACTGCCTATAACCGCTGTTCAACTGACTGTCTATAACCGTTGCTCGACTGGACAACTATAACTGATGCTAAACTGTCTACTATAATGGGTGCTCGACTGGCTAACTATAATTGCTGCTCAACTGACTAACTATAACTGCAACATCACGAACTAAACATACATATGATATGATAAGCACATCCCAACCTCATCATACATCTAATATGATAAATCACATAGCAACCTAAACATACATCTAATATGATAGAACACATCACAACCTAAGCATACATCTAATATGATAGAACACATCACAAATGCGTATAAATAAGTATGTTGTCTATAATTGCTGCTCAACTGACTATCTCTAATAGCTGCTCAACTTACTATATATAATTTCTGGTCAACTGACTGCTTAACAGGCGAGAAGGACACTAGGTTTTCACGCTCACGATAAGCAACTGTAGGACCTATTCTGTAGGTCGTTGCCCATACTAGGGCAAAACTAACCCTTATGCACTTCTAAGGTTGGAGCTTAACTCACAACTGCACTAGAGTCCTTGATACTACTGAAGATTCGAAACACTTGGTTATGACGAAACATATCTCTAGATCAATGTCTCATAGGGACGAATTATTCTAAAATCATATGAAATTAGACTTAACTCAAGGCTGCTCTAGGGTTCTGAATTCACTTAACTCAAAGCTGCACTAGAATTCTTATCTCATTTTAACTAGAGTTCGATGCACCTAGCTAGAAAAGATCTACTCGCTAGGTAATAGCCCCTATTCGGGCGGAATCTCACATACATACCTCAACCATGGTATTGCGATTATAGAAGATGTAATACCCAGTACAGGGTCCCCACATGATATGCTGAAATGCAAGTGCTGAATGGTTTGCAACTGTCGGAGGCTCGACTCTCCACAAGCTACAAAATATATAAGCACAAAATATATTCTAAGTACTTATCTTAAACTGAAAACTCGAATTATATTATCTGAGTCGTTAGGTTCGCTCACTCGGCTCTAAAAATCATTTTAGGGATTTACGAGTTGATTTTGAAAATATTATTGTCTTTGAGGCATTCTAGAGTTCTCTGAAATATTTCTAAGTCTGGAGCTAAAATCTGACTTAATGTAATCTGACTGAAATCTTAAATATATTTGGATCATAAATCTATCTGGAATCTTAACTTAATATCTGAAATCTTAATCTGACTGAATCTGAAATTTATTTGAAAAATATCTGGAATCTATCTCGAACCATCCGGACTGACCGAACCAGTTCGACTGAACTGGACCGACGGCTCACTCGGAGCCGGTCGATCATTCGCTTGACTATGTGCATATCGGTTTGACCGTGGTCCGAGTTTGGCGTGGCAACTCGGGCCGCCACGAACTCGACTGACACGGCTTAGCCGATGCATGGGTTTGAAACGGGGCCACGGTCACTGACGCAGGGGCGTGCTTGGACCATGGCTAACGGATATGGCGTGTAGACGGTAGGTCGAATGGACTCGGTGCACGGGCACGCACTCGGTGGTTTGACTTGGACTCGGTGCACGGGCACGCACTTGGCGGTTCGGCTCCAACGGTCGGACAAGAGTTGAGCACGTGTGCGGGACGACAAAACGCGTTACGAATTAATGATACGACGTCTAAAAATTATTTAAACGGTACTAGGGTTCGGTCGATTAGACTTAGATTCAAAAATTATACGGTTATCGAAACCGGATAAAACTAGGGTTTCTGACTTCTAGAAAATTCTAAATCATTTTTCAGCCAATAGTTAAATCACTAATTTCTATTTGATTTACATTGATTCTATAATCAACAACTGCAGCTAAAAATCATGTCCGTCTAATATTATAAAATATCGCGAAATGAGGCTAACATCTCGATTTTTAATTTATATCAAATGGTGTCCGAACATTACGAAATTCGAAACACACCATCCTCAACACATACATGGTCCATGGTCAAAATATCGGGTCAAAATTCAACTCCTAACCTATTCAACTCACAATCGCTTCAACCAGTCAAATACTTCAAAAATTCCGTTCGTCTATCAAACGAACTCTAAATATTCTCAAATTCGCACCTAAGCCTCAAGACATGGATAAAATTTTATAATATTTATTTCATCATTTTATCACATTTTTATAAAAATCTTGAAAAATCAACTTCAAGCTCGATAAATCCCAATAAATCGTAAATCGCTCAAATCCTCAAATTCACATTTTTATATCATCTTAATAATCATATCTAAGCTCATGGAGAAAGGCCCAATCCATTTTACCTTAATTCGGCTCGAATCGGCAAATCAAAAATTGATCGGCTAGAGGAAAAAGGTGTCGGCTTTTGCGAACCGGGTCTGACTCGCTGAAATGGGCTGAACCGAAGGCTGAACCGCTTGGACCCGGACTGATTCGGGATGGGTCTGGAGCGGTTGGACAGAGTTTGGTGCTGTTGGTCGCAAGTTTGGTCAAGAAGGGCCGGAATCGAGCTCACCGGCGTGTGGACTCACGTTTGGACAGAATATGCTCGCGGTTTGGGCTCAGGGATGGTGAACACGAGCTATACGGTGCGAGAATGGGGCTGAAACCGGTCATCATGCACGGAAAAGAGCAGAGGCGACCGGAGCTGCTGGAAACAGAGCTATAACTGGCCGGATCCGCTGTTGGGTTCGCCAATACTGGTGGCGCGTGGCTCGACCGGTCGTGGACAATGACGACTCACCGACAGGAAGAGCTGCGCACGGCGGAGAGGACGTCGCGACGAGGCTGAGAGGGGCTCGGGTTGGTCGCGAACCAAGGGTTGCAGACGACTTTAACCGGCGACCCGAGTGTGAGCTGCGAAGCGGCGACGTGAGGGTGCGGTGCTGCAAGGACATTGATGGCACGGTCGGAGCTGGTTGCAGGTTCGAGCTTGTGGCCTGGACTCGCGGGGACTCGGGCTTGAACGTGAGGAGCTCGGGCTTGGACGAAAGCCTTGGACGCCGGAGGGTTTGGGCTCGCTGGAAATGTGAGCTTCGCCGGAAAACAAGGTGGCCGGAAAGATGGCCGGAAATATGATGAAAGTGATGAACTCTTGAATGCTTGATCTAGGGTTTGGAGGTGTTGGGAAAGAGATGATGAAGAAGATAATATGTATTTATAGTGTTTAGAAAAATTAGGTTTTTTGGTTCTTATTGGGCTCAAACTTTGGGCTTTAATGAAATTGACTTGGGCTAGAAATAAATTGCTACTTGGGTTATTAAAATCCTAACATTTAATCGGCTAGATATTAAATGCTCAGTCAATTTAAAAGGTAGCGAAACTTGGACTAAATTAATTAGTCGGTTAAATTTAGT